AAATAGATTCAAAGATGACTGCAGAGAGAGTCCAGCCTATTACTGTAGCAAAGCCATTAGAAGAACTGGGAGGCTGAGAAATTACAAAAGTATAGAAACGATGCAAGGGGGAAGGAATTTTTGGGGGTGGAACTTTTATTGGATCTCTGTGGATCTTCTATCAAAACTCCATGGTTTGGATAGAATTGGACAAGCTTTTGAATGCAAGGCATTCTTCATCATTCTAGTTGTCTTCCTATAATGACATCACAAGGCAAAATGGCACATAGACACAATAGACAGCTTAATTTAATTTAATTTATACAGAATTGTGAAAGAATTCTGAAAAAATAGGTTGTTTTCCTCATGGAGATGGATGGGAACTGACTTTCTCTGATGTGGCTTAATGTAGGTCAACACTAAGTCTAAAGGTATGACTGCAGCTCAGGTAAACATATTTGAGACACTTGCAAATTAGCTGCTTCCTCAGAAGCTAACAACAATATAGATCTGAAACAGGGTTCAGCAAAACTCACCCAAGAGCTTGAGCTCTGCTGCCATTAATTTAAACCACTAGCAATGCAGCCAATTCATTTATTTCTACATGACAACTTTGGCTACGTTCAGACATTTCACATAAACTGAAACCAATCTAAACTTAGAACAGTACACATATACTGGTTTAAAAATGGTGGAACACAGTCTAAGATAAACCTGGATGCATGTAGTATCAGATTTAATCAGTTTAGGTTTGACTGGTCTATTGAACTTCTGTCTCAGATCCCCTTCTGACTCAGTCTGATAGCATCCCAGGCACCTTTCCAAGTTACCAGCCACAGGCGGGGTGGGGCATGGGGGCAGGAGGGAGCATCTGTTGCTCTGTATTTTTCTATCTTTATATGATATCCCTAGGCAGGCAGGGTACTTTGCAAAAAGAAAGAATTGGGCCCCTCGAGCTCCAGCCAATGGCAGGCACCTGACAGCAGGGAAGGGCAGACTGAACAAGCAGCACCAGCTGTACTCTGTGTGCATGGGGCCACTAGCATGGTCGGGCAGGGAGTGGAGCAACTGCCACTGCCATTCGAGCTGTAATTCCCCAGTGCCTGAAAGCATTGGCAGCTCCTGGACACCACAGCCTGGGTGGGGCAGAGATGCTCTCCACTGTCCAACAGCTCCTGTTTGGCTGTGAAACTGCTGCCTTTGGCTGTGAAACTGCAGATAAAAAACAAAGGTACCAGGGCATTGGATCTATTGCAGGGAGCAGCTGCTGCTAGATCCAAGCCCCACACACAAGGAGCCCCTCCCTTTTCTTCTCCCCCTTCCCCTTTCCCAAAGTTGGAACACAGAGCCAGAGCTTTCTGCTGTTTGCCTGGGTAGCCTGCTCCCAGCTCCCTTCCCTTCGGGAGCTCCAGGGCTTTAAGCCAGGGCTAAGGGCAGTCTTATTTATAATTTAGTCTGGCTTTGTACAGGATGGTTTGGGTAGGGCTAAACCTGCCTCTGGCAGAAGGTTAGCTTGACTCCTTCCATCCCTGCTTCTCTACGATTCCTGTGGCTGGGGTGGAGTGGGGGGACGAGGTGGCGGGGGGGGCGGAGTTACTCCCATGTACCTGGCAGCCAATTAGGGGTGGCTTAATGTCTCTGGCAGCCCAGGGTGCCAGCAGAGCATGTTAGGAGGCAAACAAGAGTGCCTCCTAACTGCTGGCCTCCTCCAGTGCATGCAGCCCACATGTCCCCATACCCCAAATGAAGGGACAGCATATGTTCTGTTCTCTCTCAAACAAGACTAGGGTGCTTAGAGTAAAGCATAAAACTTAGATCACTTCTGCCTCTGGCTTTTTGGATGTCTGTGCCTGGCCTTTGTGCTGCAGTTGAGACATGCCATCATCTTACACAGGCCCACAGAGTGAAACTTAAGTCTTTTAGGTCATGGTTTTACAAGATACTAAGTGCAAGTACAGGAATCTTCCACTGGTTTCATGGTTTTGGGTCTAGCAGATGAGCATGGGGAAAAAGTGGCAAAAGGGGTGTAATTTGCCTTTAAATTCCAGTGAAACTACATTAGGCTAATAACATCTTTTTTGCTGATAATGGGACTGAAATTTTGTATTCATAAGATTCCCATGCAATTACCATAAGGATCCTCTTGGTTTTGAGTCACAAAGAACTTCTTGACCTTTCAATGAGCTGAGACAGATGCAGAATTTTCTAGATAGCTATAAATGTGTGACCTCTCCCATCCCCAAACTTCAAAACAGGTTATGGAATAAAGCTTAATGTGTTCTAAATGCAACAGGAGAACCACATCTTTTTTTCACTGATTTCTTGTATGACTTTTTTTCCCTGAAGTTTATTGAATGGTCTTAAGGCAACGACATTTTTGTAAGCCATCAGCATGCTCGAAAACCAGTAAAACAGGCAAAATCACCAGCAGAAATATGGAAAATGTAGATCATTTGGGTCCCATTTCTAAGATCCGATACAGTCTTCTCATGGTGCTCAGGTGTGCAGAGAGGCCATAAAGCTGAGCTAACCAACTTGTTGCAGAATCACTTAACAAAAATAGGTATCCCCACATTGCATAGGGATTGGATGGGGATGCTGTGGTCAATGGGCTACTCTGTAGAAATCTTTGGTCATGCTCACCACCAGCATGACTAGAACCAAGACTGCATAAGTGAATTATCCCCGAACCACTTCCTTTGCTCATTGGAGGTAATAACATAACATATTTTTACCCAATTTTCCCAGGACCTGCACCAATCACAGCTTAGCTAGAGGTAAAGGATGCTCCTCTCAAATTTGCAGCAAAGCAAGAAAAATATGCACAGCATAAAATTCAACAGCTACTGGGTAGCCTTAGAACAATTCTCTCTCTTTTTTTTCTTTTCTCTAAGATGGAAGCTAAGACATTTTAGAATTCTCCAATCAGGCCAAACGTCCACAGCTGCATTCAAGGAAAGCCCTTTTCTCACTGGTGCAAGCCAGACAAAGTGAGAATCAGAATATAACTATTATATATGTGCCCAAGCAAACTAGGGGCACAGAAATACCCACTTTTACAGTTTATAAATTAGATTAAGTTCTCAATCTCTTATATCTAGTGTAATGTGTGTCTCCAAGCTCCTTTTCTCCCCAATTAGGCTGTCTAGATAGAAAATGATGGTGAAGAAAGAAGCCTTCCTGAATGTTATGGGGGACAATAAGCTGAATAAGAGTCATCGGCATGTGCTTGTTGCCAAGAAGACTAATAACATCCTGGGTTACATTAGTAGGAGTGTTGCTAGCAGATCAAGGGAAGTTTTTATTCCCCTCTATTCAGCATTGATGTCCCATCTGAAGTACTGTGTCTGTATTTGGGCCTCTCGTTACAGAAAGGATGTGGACAAATTGGAAAGTCCAGCAGAGGACAACAATAATGGTTAGATGACTGGGCAACATAGCAATACAAAGACTTGGGTGGGATAATCTAGTTGGGGATGGTCCTGATTTGAGCACAGGCTTGGACAAGATGACCTCCCGAGGTCCATTTCATCCCTAATTTTCCAATTCTATGACTTTCTATTTATAATTTGTAATACTCTCTTTTCTTAAAATGCCCTTTCCATGCTCTAAGTACTTAAACCATAAATTAAAATTCATATATACTATAGCATATAGTAACTAGATTTCCCACACTAATTAACCCTAAATGAGCAATTCCCACTTAGAAAAGATAATCGTCTAGAACAAGGAAGTCTGCATACCAATAATGAAAAACAATATAGATCACCACTCTTTTGAACATATTATGCTATCTGGCTTTATACCTCCTTGTATTTCTATTCCAGCCCCATCACATTGACTCCTCATTTTAAAGTGGCATCATTTCAGTCACTGACCTCAAGGCTGGGATGCCAGCTATCACTGCAAGTTGCCCAAAAGTTATAACTAGGCTTTTTTAGTAACTGTTGGTTACTCATTTTTTTCTCTTCCCCATTCAGACAGATATGTATTTAAACACATTGGGAAAGATCAAAATGTACCAAAAAGCTTACAACTGCGCCTAATTTTAAGAGGGGTTGCCTTTTGTTTCCAGTTCTATTTACAGTAAGAAATCCATGCTGCATCGTATTTCCAAAGGCTATAGTTTATTTTTAATACAGAAAATATTGAACAACAGTTGACACCTCATTTTGGATATTTGTTTATGTTATTAATTGAAGTCAGTAGAAGTTTCACAGAATTTTTTACTATCAGGGGACACTGACAATTATTACACAATGTTAGCCTCCCCCCCCAATCCTTTAATCTCCATTAAGATTGTTCTTCACAAAAGTATCCCCTACCATCTATTTCCCTCAGGGGAAAAATGTTTTCAATCCATATTACTTCTAAAAATAAAAACTATCTATGGGCAGTATGTAAATTTGATATGTTTAGCAGTAGTGCTACGAAAATTGGTAAAACAACAACCAATTAAACTGCAGCCAGCTTCAAAATAGCAGCATTCTTCTTTACACTATAAAGGATAAGCAAGACACTGAACAAAACACTGAAAATTGAAACAAATATGCTATTGATGTCAAATTCATTTAACAAAAAAAAATCTTTCCAGATGTTCAAAGCTTCCTTGACAGGCTTAAGATGGATATTTTCAAGTCAAGACAAGTGAAGCCTAATATATTAAAACAATTCTAGGGAAGAAAGCATAACAGTCTCAAATAAGGGATCACAAACTCTAATCCTTGTATCCGTATTTACCCACTCTTCCAAATTTTTCCTTTTGCCTGTTGTTCAATACATCATATATTTCTTTAGACATAAAGATACATCTACTTTGAACGTTGGGTGCATCCAGAAAGTATTACAAAATGTGATAAATAATGAAACCCACCTATAAAACAATAACTCTTTGTATTATTCTTAAATAACCAAACTGTACTAACATTATGCTGGCTTCAGGTTTGTTGGTTTTTATTTTGTTTTGGTTTCTTTCAGCTTCCCACCCCAGAAATAGAATGGCAAGATATAAGATCACTTACCTTGAACAGAAACCAGAAGAAAACCTAGGCAAAAAAGAATGGTAGCTCTCAACCTCACCATGGTTTTCTCTACAGTCCACCTATTGTTGTTGTTGTTTCTCAAAGTAATAGGAGCAACAGTTGTAATTGCAATGTCACTTCCCCCCCCTCTTTTAATGATTTCTGAAGTAGGCTAGCTCACGGATATCTTTTCATGCCATTTCCCTCAAACACAGAGAGCTCCACAGAGAGAAAATCCCATCCTACGAGACACTTTAAAATCCAGCCAGGCACAAAGCCTCCCTATAGTAAGTCTACAACACAACTTAGAACATGTAAATCTGTACATTCACAGCTCCTCCCCAGCAAGGAATTTGCTTAATAAGATCCTCCACTTACAAAGATGGCAGGTCAACTCCTCCAAACAACTAATGAGAAAACAGGACTATGAGAACTACTGTGCTATCAACTGCACTCCTCTCCCAAACCAAGATACCTTATTTTCAAACCTCGCCTGCAGAGCTGGGTGTGCTTCTGCAGTCAGACACTCTCCATCCCAGGAGAGTGATTTTACAAAAGCATACTCAGAAACCTATAGTAAGTATTCTTTTCTTGGGCTTATGGGCTATTTTTAAGGTGATGTTTAGGCTGCTAAGCCATAATCAGCAAGAAAGGAAAGCATGGCTGGATTTCTAATCCAGGAGTAAGCAGTGTTAGAACAGAGAAAACTAAAAAAACAAACAGGTTGTAGATATTCCTGCGTTCCTCTTCCACTGACCAGGAGATTAAATATAAATAAAATATACAGATATATTTAGAATTAAAAAGTAATCTGTTTATTGGAATAAGTCTGTTAATATGATGCTCTGAGCTGAAAGTGGTAAGAGTCCAATTTTTGGGAACTGCGCAAGTAAAATAAAGAATATGTTGAATACCTAGGTATTTTAGTGAGAATTATTTATTATTGTTTTCTAATTTATCTACTTTTTGGTAACCTGCTCTGAGTCTGTTTGGAGAGGGCAGCATAAAAAATAAATGAAAAAAAATGAATGAATAGATTTTGTTCTAGCAAAAGCTATGTAAATTATTGTCAGCCTACTCTGGCTAAGACAGATAAACATGTTCTTTCTTGTCAGGCTTAGTCATCAGACCTAAGATTACTGACATTTAGTTTTAAGTAGTTGAAGATTTTTTTATTTCAACAAAAAGATTAGACTGGGACTCAAGCAATTGTCATAAAATATTTGAATGTCTCTTTTCAGACTAGTGTATACATGAGGCATATGAAAATGTGTAGACATGATTTTAATGATCAAATCACCCTGAAGGTAACATAGAATTTAGCACATCTGAGTAACAGACAATCTGAAGCAGGCACAGGCAAATCAGCAAGACTTAAAAGCTTTATATCAAAACACCTATTTTTCTGGTACGAATCTTTTCTATGTGCTCTATATCAACTCTCACTTTGTACTATAATTTCTTTTAGCATGTGATAAAATTATTATGGATTCAGCACCTCATTTCTTTCACCAAGTAGGAACACAAGCAGATGTGACATTTGGCTTTATCCCCATTTTCATAGGTGCTTTGTCGTACAGTGTGGAAGAATAGGCACAGTGCTAGAAGTCCCAAGTCTTACAACCATCTCTGTCACTAACATGTTGGGCATGTTCAGATGAGCCCACATGTGCCTCTTGCAGCATCTGAAACCCATTTGAGATGCTACAAGAGACATGTGCGGAAACAAAAAAAGTTCCCCCCACTGCAAATTTGCAGTGGGGGAGCAAAATTAGATCCCATTCAGGGGTCAAATAAAACCCTGGGAAGAAAAAGCAGGACAGGGCACAGTTCTAGACCGTGCCCTGAGGCAACTGGAGGCTCAGTCCTCCAGAGAGACGCTCTGGCATCGGGAGGCTGGAGAAAACAGGGGAAGGAGCAGGGGGCTGGTGAGAAAAGGAGAATGTCTCCAGGGGTTGTCTCCAGCCTGCTGCTCATTCCCCTGGTTGGAAAAAGGGGAAGGAGCTGGGGACAAGTCCCTGGAGATAAGCTGGAGACTTCTGCTCTCTCCAGCCTCCTGCTTGTTCTCTCCTACTGCCAGTGAGTGTGGCAGGGCTGGGAGAGCAAGTGGGCAGCTAGGGGAATGAACAGAGGGTGTGGAGAATGAACAGGAGATGGGGGAATGAATGGGGGGCAGGGGAATGAATGGGGAGCTGGGGGAACGAACGGGGGCAGGGGGAACAAATGGGGCAGAGGGAATGAACAGGACTGGGGGAAAGAGGAGGTTCTGGAGGTGGTGGTGGAGAGGCTGCAGCCTGGTGCATTTGAGGGTCATGTGCGCCAGGGCCTCCCTCTGCCTGCAGAAGGGGCAGGAGACCAAGATGTCCATGAAGCTTACCACATACACACCCGTGGCAATGGCTCCATGGAGGAGCTGCCAGCTGAGGTCCCCAGTGGCTCGTGGGATGAAGGTGGATTACAGACTACCTAGAAGCTCCTGAGGGCAAGTAACCCTGAGAAGCTGGCCAGGGCAGGTTTTTATACTGCTGAGGCCAGGACAGAGCAGCTTTTTATACTGCTGGGAACAGCACAGGTGCTGGCCCTGGGCTCTAGCTCCCCCTGGCTGGAGATCCAGGAGGAGTCAGGCAGGGTTATTTTGCCCCAAGTGGCACAATTTGCCCCACAACAAAGTGTATGTCAGAACATGTGTGCTGAGGCAAAAAGCCCTGGCTCAAATTTGCCCTGCTTCTATCTGAGTTGCTGCAAGCGCACATGCTTGTATGCGTGGACGTGCCTATTGAGGTGCCTATCATGACACTGTGAGATGGGAAAAGGATGAGCTCCCCCTCCCCCCTAGCCTAGCTATTTATTAGGGATGGTGTGTACAATGCTGTGAACATATAAAGCATTCTAAAAAAGGTGAATTATTTTAATTGTAAATAAAAATAGCTCATTTTATGATTTTTCTTTGGAAAATTTTAGGTTATAGGAAAACAAGTAGGAAATTACAGAAAAAAATCCTTTTATTTGTTCTTCTAAATTAAAGTTGTGAGCCTGTTGGTCCATAGCATGGTATTTATTGATGCATTTCATTTTTTTGCACACTGTCTCTTGGCATAATAGCTGTCCTCTCCTTATTCTTCCTATCTTCAGTTTTTAATTGTTGGCCTCTCTTGAGCAGCTAGAAATGGGGAAAATGGCTCCCATGTCACCATCCAATTACTATCTCTTTTGGGCAGAAGTTAGACTTTGCTCCTTCCGGAGCAGGAGACCTGGCCTACCTTCAAAAACCAATAGAGCTTCTCTTTCATTGGATTTGTCAGGGTGAGCTATTGCACCATTCTGTGGATGGCCTCCTAGAAATATTGGTCTATTTTCATAATAATTTTAAGTATTTTAATTAAAACTTTGGCGTTCCTTCTTAGGCTCTTCCCCTTGGATTCAGATGAAATTTGGAAGTATAAATTACAGGGTGTGCCTCTAGGACTAAGCACAATGTACATACTGAAGACAGTGAAAGCAGTTGCAAGAAAAAACATGTTGCAACAGTGTCTGAATTTGGCTCACTAATATATGCACAGGTGCACATGCATGCAGACATACACAATTGGTCCTTTTGGTAACTTTTACATTAAAAGTCCTAACAGCTTTTCAGAATGGTGAAATACAAAGTTCTTTGTATTTTTCTACTTGTGAATCTCAAAGTATTTTTCTAATTACTGCAGTCTGAATTTGGTATGCACGTTTAAACTTAATTTTCCACATTTCTTAGTTGGGGTAAAGTTTTCTCTTTTCTCTATTGTTATTCGTCTCTTCATTCTCAGTTGCTTGACGTAGTATTTCTGTGTGTATTATTTTCTCTTTCCTCCATTACTTTCCTACCTTTCCTATGGTTTGCGTTTCACATCTACTTACTTCCTTGTCCCTTTATTATATTCTTTCTCCACAATGTCTTCTGAATGACACACATTTAGGATGCTGCCTAAAGCAATTCAACAAGCATACCAACTGCTGATGTTGTAAAATATCAAAATATACAGGAGAGGATTTGTGAATAACTTTTATTGAACCTACTACATGCCAGTCCAATAAAAGATTTCACCCATATAAATCATTGTCTCTTGCATATTATCTGGATCATAACAGCTACAACATCACTTCAACTACCAATATTAAATGTATATGTTTAGTATTATTGGTTAGCCCAAGTTAAATTTAGAAATTTACCTCAGAAATGAATTTAGCATTCCAAAAACATCTTAACTGGGTATGATCTATTGTAAAAAAAGAATACAAGGAAAACATCCTTACCCTTATGCTTATAAATCCTTGTACACAATAATGAGGTAGCAAGCATTTAGCACGCCAGTGGTTGAAAGCTCTGTGCAATATTTGTAGGTTTTGTTTTGTTTTTTTACCGATTGTTAAAGCACGGTAGATTGACTGGCTAACATTTCTCTTCTGATGTTATGCAACTCTGATAAGTACACAGGTGATGAAGCAAGACATTCAGAGATACTTTAAAAAAATATCAGGACAGGGATTAACATGTATTGTGGAAGGGCAGTAATATACTAAACCACAAGAAAACTGGGAATAAAAGATAGCCCAGTAGCTGCCTTGAGGGAATCCCTTCAGCATGAAAGTGAAGAGTTTAGGAGTAAAAGAGAGGGTTTTTCCAAGTTTCCTCAGTCCAGAAGGTTTCCATTAGAGATCTGTTTGTTCGCTAATAATTAAAAATGTTGTTGCAATATTCAATGCATATTTCACCATTAAAGTAGCAGTTGTTTTGACTAGGAGACAGCAAGGTAGGCAGACATCATCATCCTGGTTCATTGGGCTGAAAACAACTCATAGAAATTAGAGGATTTAATTAGGGAATATGACAAAATGGTCAAATGGGGAGAGGGAGAAAGGAATGTAATGCTTTTAAATGTCGTGTTCAAGATCAAAGTTTCTGTTCCAACCAAAAATAGGTAGAACTTGCTATTCCTCTCTGTAGGCAGCTAATACAAGCCAGTATAAGCTCCTTGCTCACACAAAACAGATTTGCTTCAGAAAGTCTGAGTATTACCAGATCTTGATCTCATACGCAGGATGGCAGACTGATGCACATGACAATAGTATCAGCAGAGCAAGTGTCTTGTTTCAGCCTTTAGGTCCCCTCAACTGTAGGGCCAGCCACATTACAATGTAAATTGCCACATTCATTCCCTGTTACATATTTTGCAGTCTATGGAGCCACAAACAAAGCAACTACAGAGCTGAACAGGGCTGCTGACATAAGTATTAAGACAGTCATGTCCATTCACCCAAGTATGATTCAGACTTAAGAAGGGGGGCAGAGAGGGACAGGGGGAGGGCAGGGGAATGAATGATAGTGTTCACTCTGCTCCAGATCTCACTTAATGGTTTGCAGCATCCCATGGCAAGATACTCAGTACATTTGTTATTCTGAAAACAGTATCACTTGGAAACACTTGTGTTATTCTCTCATTTCAGTTTTGATGGACTTCTTATTAAAAATGATACAGGTATCATTGCAAAGATTACCATTAATCGAAATTCCCTCATCACTAAGACTGTAAAAGTTGAAAAAACTTGCTGAAGAAGCCTATAAACTCTATTCATGTGTGTCATTGTTTGCTTCCCTGGATATATTTTCTAGCAGTGTAGGAGCCAGCAATCTTTTAAAAAGAAAACAGATGAATGCAAGACATTTTTCAAAACCTTGTCCAACTTTATTCCAAACATGCAGTTGGTTCAATAAGATATTACCCCCAAAACATCCTTGCTTCTCACATAATTTCTGGACCATCACAGCTACAACTGTGATCAGTCTAACACTACCACGAAAGAAAACATCCAGCACAAATAAAATCCAGTTATCTATGCACAGATAGGATCTCTTCTCCAAACCACAGTGCTCATCTCCTCTTGCTCCAAACTTTGGTTCCTCCCTTTCTCCACCCCCCTCTCCCCTGGAACAGCCAGACACAATAAGAGAAAGGAGGAGTCCATTTACTCAATACTTTGACTTGTTTATTAAAAAGTCACATCGTTGAGTCTGACTTTTTAAATGACCTCATTTTTTGACAAATTGCATAATTAAAGGAATATTCAAAACTAATTAGTTGGAAGCTTTAAAAAAAAATCCAAAAATGGCTACTGGTATTTTCCACTTTGATTAACACTTGGCAATGCACATATAAAACAAGTTTATTGAAAATAAACAAAGTGATTTCATTCGCTTAAAGATTTACAGGCTAAGAATCTCACCTACATAATAGTAATTTTCCATTGTTGATGCACTTAAAATATTTTTTTACATTTATCTAAAAATAAAAATAGGGAAAAAACAAGCTTGCCACTGATTTCCATAATTAAAACATTAGATTCATGTAAAGTTCTGTATCGAACTTGCTACCATGTATGCACAAGAAGGTCTTTGAAATGGGTTAGGCTCCTAATATTTCAACAGAGTTTTAGGAGGAAAGAAATCTGTTCTACTTCAAATGATAAAAATTATATAAACAGGTTCACCAGTTTGCTGCATGAAGTACTGCAGTTCACAGTGTCACATAGTACTTGATGCAGCATTACTGGCACAGTATTTTGGAAAATTGCACAAAAAGTAACACATATTTATTCAGATGTTTCATTTGAATCAAAGTCTCCTATAGGTTTCTTGCAACAAACAACAGTTACAAATCTCCATTACTCTGACAGACAGCATGGAAAAAGTTGGCTGTGCTCGGGTGGAATGCTTTTGAGGGCTCATAAGCACAGAAGTCTCAAAACGCTGTAAACGGCAGAATCAGCTTCTGGCATTTTCTTTCTGTTTCCAAGTTCCTGATTAATTCATTTGAATTCTTCAAATCTCCTATTTAGAAGGATTCATTGAACAACAAGGAGTGTAGTTTCTAAAATCCTAATTTTAATTGCTATGCTAATGGTCCTATTATTTATCCAGATTATGTAGTTCTCACTGAAGTAGGGGTATTGTCTCTGTCTTCCAACAATGACTCAAGTCCTCCAGATACAAAAATGATTTAATAACCTGTTCATGATTTCAATGAGTAGCAATGAAAATGCTAGTCAGTCATAATTTTCAAAAGAAGAGAAACCATATTACTATTCCAATTTGCAAATCAGGATTTTCCTGTTTTGACCAGCTCTGCTTAAGTTTTATGGGATAAGTAGAATAACAAAGAGATGGAGGGATCTGTAGGAGCTGAAAGGAATTTGGATTTTCTATAAATCTGTACCAGACAGACAACAAAGGAAACATTACTTCCTCAGAGTTGACCAATACAAACATCTCCCTTCCTGCTAGCTGACCCATTCAAGTGCGTGGAAAATATATCATTGTCAAAACATCCTCATATACACATATGTACACAAAGACTAATCATGATATGATATGTCATACAATCCATCTACCTACACAATACTTTGCATTCAGGTGCCCACAAAATGTAGTATTTAGTAGATTTTCATTCTCAAGCAAAGTCATGAGCCCACCTTCACTGGTACATTCAGCTTGTATATGACGCTAAGAAATATGGCACTGCGATGCTAGCATTATTTCAAAGCAATGATACATTAATGGACTTTTGGTGAAATAAGGAAAAAGATATCTACAACATTTCCAAGACACACGACTCTAATCAATCACAAAGGCAGAGCTCAGAATTTTAAAAAGGCACGAAGTATTTCAGCTGTCATTAAGGCCAAATATCTGTGGGCAACACTGTGCTTCACAGGGCTAACCAAAGAAAATACATTCAGGTATTTTGAATAGTGTCTCTTTCTTCCAAAGATGTGTCAACAGGACTACATCTTTTTTTCATGCAATTTTGCAACTCCAAATCCTGCCGTTTACAATATGGGTTTTTTTTTCAGGAAGATATGAAGGTTCTCTATCCAGTTTTTTGATCTTCACTTTATCTTGCATCTTCCTTCAGAAGAGTGCGCTGAACTGAAAAAAAGGAGACATGCACACAAATTAGTATTCTGGAAAATACACATGAATGAAACATTTAGAACAATACTTCTTTTACAAAGGGACACTTTATATTATTCCAGGAGTGACCAGGAATAACAGTCAAAAGCTGGCAGAGGGTAGATTTAGGCTAGATATCAGGAGGCGCTACTTCACAGTCAGGGCGGCTAAGATCTGGAACCAACTTCCAAGGGAAGTGGTGCTGGCTCCTACCCTGGGGGTCTTTAAGAGGAGGCTAGATGAACACCTTGCTGGGGTCATTTGACCCCAGTACTCTTTCCTGCCATGGCAGGGGGTCGGACTAGATGATCTACTCAGGTCCCTTCC